TGGCTGCTGGGCTTAAAGGTGTACATCACCACTGTCTGACCTCTATAGCTTGTGGCTGACTTTGCTTTCTGAATCCTCAGGCAAGCTTTAATAAATCATAAATAGTATATCACCAACCCTGCCTTAAAAAAAAAAAGAGAGGTCACGCTGTCTTCTGCTTTGGCACAAAGACTAGAAGGAAATAAAACATAACAATGTTAGTGGGTTTTGTTATTTTTTTGAAAGAGGGTTTCATGTAACCCAGGCTGGCCTCTAAGTTGCTATGTAGTTGATGTGTTCCTGTTCTCATGAGCCTCCCGGTGCTGGAATTATAGACATGGACCACAACACTGGTTTAAATTGATAATACTTAGCAAGTGTTTGTTGAACTGCTTCTGTATTAGGTCCCAAGGGTCCTCCTGCTTTAAGAACTTTGTCAGTTTTTGTGTTTTTTTTTTTCTTGTTGTTGTTCAGGATAACAAAGCTACTTGCCAGCAGTCACACTTCAATATAGTAAATATTATTAAAATTTTGCCTGATATTGAAATTTAAGATGTTTATCTCATTTTCCTGGTTTCTTTAAAATAACTGAATATATTTTAAGTGCCATTCTGTAAGTACCATACTGGGCTATATTTAAAAAAAAAAGTGAGGTGTAGGTCTGGGGGTGTAGGTGGAGGACCACCGAGCATTGTGAGGTGTGGGTGAGGGGTGGAGGTGGAGGACCACTGAGCATTCACAAAGCCTTTGGTTCTGCCTGCAAGATGGCAGTTGATCCTAGCCCTCAGGAGGTCAGAAATTCATGGTCATTTTCAGTTAAGTTTGAGCCTCCTGGGTCTCCATGAGGCCCTTCTCAAGAGAGGAAAGGAAGAGAGATAAGCAAGAGGAAAAAGCAGTGTTTGCTAGGAAGAAACTTGCAATTCCCACATCTAGAAATGTTCCTCCAATATTTAGATATTTTTCTATTCCAGAAAAGAGCAGCATTTCATACCCTACCACTTATTGAGCAATATTGAGCTTAGCCACAGAAAGACTAACAGCGGCTCGCTCTCTTTCTGTTTTTTGTTGTTGTTTTTGTGTGTGTTTGTGTATGGTGAATGTGCACATGTGTGTGCCTATACTCAAAGGACATCTGGTGTTGTATCACTCTGCACCTTATGCCCCTGACATAGATCTCTCACAAAACTTAGAGCTAGGCTGGCTACTGGAAAGTCCCAGCTGTCCTCTTGCTTGTGCTCCTCATGACACTGGTATTTGAGGCATGGTCATGCCTGGCTCTTTATGTGGGTGCTTGGGTTTGAACTCAGTTTCTCATTCATGCTTCTGCACAGCAAGTGTTTTATCCACTAAACCATTCTTCAGCCCCACAATAAAGTTGTTTTCTGAGGAAATAGATAATATTTTATTGGGTTTCACATTTTATGAAAGAAAACTCTTTTTATCCTGAGACAGGGTTTCTCTGTGAAACAATCCTAGCCATCCTGGAACTCACCCTGTAGACTAGGCTGACCTCGAATTCAGAGATCCTCTTGTGTCTGCTGGGATTAAAGGTGTACACCACCATTGCCTGGCAAAACTTTTTTTATTACATGAATTTATTTGTGTGCATGAGTGTGTGCATGCGTTACAGTGAGTGTGTAGAGGTCATAGTGTAATTTGCAGGAGTCACTTTTCTCTTCCACCATGTAAGTTTTGGGGATCAAACTTGAATTGTCGGGTTTGGCAGCAAGCATCTTTATCTGTTGTCTACATTTAGGCAAACTACTTTGCTTGGCCATAAGGTATACATGAAGTGTATACATACATGCAGGTAAAATGCCCATAAATAAAAATAGAAATAATACTTTATTAAAAAAATCAGTCAGGAATGCTTCCGCTAGCCAGGCAGTGGTGGTGCATACTGTTAATCCCAGCACTTGGGCAGCAGAGGTAGGTGGATCTCTGTGAGTTCAAGCCCAGCCTGGCTATAGCGTGAGTTCTAGAATAGCCAGGGCTACACAGAGAAACCCTGCCTTAAAAATAAACAAATAAAATGAAAATAAATACGTAAATAAATAAATAGAATGAAAAGAATTTTGGAAAGTATAAATTAATTTAGCAGTCAGGCATGTCCTCTTAGTAGTGGTATATACTCTCAACTGCTGAGCAGCCTGAGATTTGGCTTCTTAAATAAAGCGTTGTTTGTTTTAATTTTCACTTACAAGATTTCCTACTTTTCATTTTGTCAATGATACTGGTCAGTTTTCTAGTTTTTTTTAAATTTTTATATATTTTTTTATATTTTATTTATTTATTGTGTATACAGCTTTCTGCCTGCAGGCCAGCAGAGGACACCAGATCTCATTCAAAGTGGTTGTGAGCCACCATGTGGTTGCTGGGAATTGAACTCAGGACCTCTGGAAGAACAGTCAGTGCTCTTAACCACTGAGCCATCTCTCCAGCTCTTTCTAGGTTGTTTTTAGCTTTATAGAATTTCTTAGTTTTTAGGAAGATACTGATATTGTTTGTTTCATACTTTATTTTTTAACTTTATTTTTTACTGTTTTGAGACAGTCCTAGCTGTCTGGAACTCACTTTGTAGCCTCAACTCACAAAGCTCCATCTGCCTCCCAAGTGCTGGGATTCAAGGTGTGCACTACCACTGCCCAGCTCATAGTTTGTTTCTATTATGTATTACTAGTGATAGAACAAGAGCTCATTCATTCCATTCACTCTTATTTTATTTACGTGCCTGCCTGCCTGCCTGCCTGCCTGCCTACCTACCTACTTACCTACCTACCGTGTTATGGGCACCCATGTTCTACTCTGCATATGAAGAAAACAGAAGACAACATGTGAGAGTGTGTGTTCTCTCCTTTCACCATGTGGGCTTCAGGATCAAATTCAAGTTGTAAGGCTGGGCAGCAAGTATCTTAACCTGCTGAGCCATCTCACCTGCCCTTCATTGATTTATTTATTTGTGTGTTTTATTTTTTTCAAGACACAGTTTCTCTGTAGCTTTGGAGCCTGTCCGGGAATTTGCTCTGTAAACCAGGCTGGGCTGGAACTTGAAGAAATCCGCCTGCCTTTGCCTCCCGAGTTCTGGAATTAAAGGTGTGCACCACCACCACCTGGCTGATTTTTATTTACTTATTTTTTTAAAGGATTTAGTTTGTCTGTGTGTATTTGTGGCATGTATATGCATTTGGGTGCCCTCAGAGGCCAGAAGAAGATGTCCATTATAGGTAGTTGTGAGCTACCTATCTGAAAAAGATGCTAGCAACTGAACTCTAATGTCTGTCAAAGCAACAGAATCTCAACTACTGAGCCATCTCTTCCTCCTCCATTGATTTTTTTTTTTTGTTTTTGTTTTTGTTTTTTTTTTGTTTTTTGAGACAGGGTTTTTCTTTATAGCTCTGGCTATAGTTTATAGTTGACTTTTATTTTTATTAATTTTTTTCTTTTTGAGACTAGAGTTTCATGTAGCTCTAGCTCAGGCTAGCTTCTAACTGGTTACATAGCTAAGGATAACCTTGAACTTTTGATTCTTCTGCTTTCACTTTTGGGGTCTTGGGATTACAGTCATGAATCACCATGCCCAAGTTTTATGCAGTGCTGGGCCTGAATCCAGGGCTTTATATATGCTATCCATGTACTCTGCTATACCTGAGCTACACTCTTGACCTCAGTTCTTTTTTTTTTTCTGTTCCATTGCCTTGTTTTTTTTTTTTTCATGAGGAATGTTGAACTATAATAGTAGCTTAAGAAGAGTCATATAAAATAAGGCATCATATGAAGGGAATAGTAATGAATAAAATGAAGAAATAAAATTTAAATTACAGGATTTTCTACCTATTCCCACCTGTCTTAATTTTTAAGATCTCAAGGACCTTTGTTTCTTGAGTGCTTCTGTATTTCCTGATTTTTTTTGGGGGGGTGTCATAGATCTGTGTAAAATATGCCTTTGGATATTGAGGACTAGGTAACAAACTGCAGAATGATGGTATGTTTCTGAGGTTCCTTTGGGAATCAGATAATAGCATCATACAATGCAGAGTTGAAACTCTTACATTATCTCATTTCTCTTTAACTTAGGTGACTACTAATGATTTTATGAGATATATTCAGAATGAAAGGGCTGTATCAGTAGAGATACTTAATTTGTAGGTAGGTGGAAGCAAATATAAGGAAAGTTGTCAAGAATGACTACAAAGTTTTTAATTCGAACATCTAGAAGTTAGAATCGAGACCACTGGTGAATGTATTCAGAGAGTAGAGGTCTATAGAAAAGATCAGGAGTTGAGTTGGGATATCTTCACTATGGGGTGTCTTAGATAACCAAGTGAAGTTTTTTAGGCTTTAGGAGTAAGATCTGGGCCAGAGATTTAGTTGGTTGGGTCATGTTTTTATATAGATGCAGTTTAAAGCCTTAAGACCTGATAGTGTCCTCAAGGGAATGAATCTAGAGAAAACCAGTAATTGAGCCTGTATAAGCCAGCATTAGGAGCATTAGGAGCAGAGAGAAGAAAAAGACATCTAGAAAAATTATTTTCTTTTATGTGTATGAGTTGAGTGTTTTGCCTGCTTGTACTTGTATGTTCTTGTGTACCTGGTGTCCAAGGAGGAAAAAGGGCATTAGGTCACCTGGAACTGGAAGTGCAGATGGTTCTGAGCCTCCATATGGGTGCTGAGACCTGAACTGGGGTCCTCAGTAAAAGCAGAAAGTGTTCTTAAGCACAGAACAATCTCTTTAACCCCAAGAAAAGGAATCTTTAAAGAGACCGAAAAGAAATTAACCAAAAGACCATAGACCTAGAAAATGTGTCTTGGGAACTTAAGGGAAGATTGTTGTTTGTACTAGAGGAAGAAATTTAAATTTTACTGATAGTAGAATGAATACTAGAATTGAAAATTGTGTTTAGCAATGTGAATACCATTGATTATTATGAAGCCTTTAGTATGAAAGGCCAGACTATAGCTATTTACATATTTTTAAATGGAAAATTTTGATGTTAATAGCATCTCATTTGTCTTGTTTTCAGGTTTGCTGTCTTATTGATGGTATGTCTGACAGTGGATCACAGCTTCATTCAGTGGGTAGCTTGACCATGAAATCACAACTTCAGATCACTGGTAAGGTTTTTTTTTTTATTTTAAAAATTTAAAATTTCCTTTTTTAAAATATGAGAACAAAATCTTTAGTGGACTGTTACATTATAGGCATCAAATCAGTATTTGATGAATGAATATATGAGCAGAATGTTGAGATACATAAAAATCATTTTTATAGATTTATTCTCCTTCATTAAACTGGTATCTAGGTAATTACTGTTGGTTATTAATAATTTTATTGAGTTATAAACAGAATTGAGCCATTATCACCACAACCAATTTTATTTACCCTTTTAAATTTTTAATTTTGAGAATTTCATACATAAGTACTGCATTTCTATCATTTCCATCCCTCCCCCCTCTAACTCCTGTGTTTTTCCTTACTCAAATGTCTGACCTCTTCTTTAGTTATGTTGTTTTACACACACACACACACACACACACACACACACACACACACACACACACACACACACACCCCACACTCTACTGAGTCCACTTAGTGTTTTGTTGTTGGTGGTGTGTGTGTTTAGGGCTGACTACTTGGAGTTGGAAATTTAACAGGGTGCTCATTTCTAGAGAAGACTGATTCTCCCTCTCTTAGGTCATTAATTGTCTATGGCTCTTCATCTAGGGGTGGGTCTTAGAAGATTTTCTCCAAACCACGTTGGTGTTGGCTGATACTGTCATTGTGCAGGTCTTATTTAGGGGACAATATTATTGAGATTTCATGGGTACAATTTCCATGTCATATATAGAAGACACTGTCTTGCAGCTGATGTTCACTCTTCTGGCTTTTCAAAATTTTCTGCTCCCTTTTCTGCGTTGTTCCTTGAGTCTTAGGTATAAGGTTGAGTTGTAGATGTAGCAATTGGAGTTGGGCACCCTGTGATTAATTATTCTCTGAATTTTGACCAGTTGTGGATTTCTGTGATGGTCCCTATGTGCTACAAAAGGAAGCTACTTTTTTTGGTTTGTTTGTTTTTTTGTTTGTTTTGTTTTTTGAAACAGGGTTTCTCTTTGTAGCTTTGTAAACCAGACGGGCCTCGAACTCAGAGAGATTCTGCCTGCCTCTGCCTCCCAAGTGCTGGAATTAAAGTCATGCCCCACCACTACCCACCTGAAGCTACTTTGTTGAAGGGTGAAAAATACATTTATCTGGATATAAGGATAAATAAGTACCTAGAACACAATATGGAATAACACTGCTTTAGGAAAGTTACACTAGTAGGTTTCCTCTAGGGTCTATGACCTCACTAACCACAGGTAGTTGGCTAGGTTTGTGGTAGCAGCTATGAATTCTCTTCAATTGTGTGGGTCTTAAATTAAACGGCTGTTAGTTACCCCTAAGATGTAAGTGTCACTATTGTAGCCTTGTGTGTATCTGGCTGTGCTGGTCATTGTTATGGTTCATAGGCTTTACATCAGGGTAGGGCTATTGATTGCTTTTCTCTCCTAGCAGTTGGCATAGCACCTTTTGATACTGTAAGAGGTAGTCCACAGGGAAGAGACTTCTAGGTCAGTTCCAGCTTGATTCTTCCAAGTTCTGTGTCCAAAGTGAGTGGGAGTGGTATCTTTAGCAATAGGGTCTTGTCTTCAAGTTCTAAGAGGCCAGTTAGATCAATGGCAACAGCCTGCACTGTTTGGGAGTCCCTTGGACTTTCCTGACCAACAGCTGAAAAGGAGGTTTTCTATGTCTGGTCTGAGGCTTTTGTTAGATGTCTGTTGCTCTTAGGGGGAGCATTATCACCCTAAATGGCATAATTGCATTTAAAAATATGTATATGTGTGTACATACACTTATATATAATGTACATATGAGCTGTATGTAAGTGCTTAGTTATATATGGTATATATATTAAGTCAGCATAAAATGTTCCCTTACAAATCTCCTTGGTGTTATTCATCCCTCCTCTCCCTCCCTCTTTCTCTGTATTACCTTCCCCTTCCCTAGTTAAAGTGCTTTGCCCATCTTTTTTCTCTCATTTCCCGCTTCATAGAACCCATGTCCTACTCTTCTCCTCTTTAGAGCTCTTCCTTCCATTCCACCCCATGATCCCTTTTACTTTCTTTGTTTCTGCAGCTACACCAAAAATTATATACTCTTATATCTAAAGATTCAGAGATGGGATCCACAAGTAAGAGAGAACATGTAGCTGTCACCTTTCTGGGTCTGGGTCAGCTCACTCAGGATGATTGTTTCAAGTTCTATCCATTTACTTGCAAATTGGGTGATTTCACTTTTCTTTACAGTGAATAGAATTCTGTTGTATAAATGTACAACATTTTCATTATCCATTAATAAGTTGAACATTTAGATTATCTCCATTTTCTTGGTATTGTGAATGGTGATGGCTTAGCAAGTATCTGGAAAGTAGTTTGTCGAATCCTTTGTGCATATGCCAAGGGATAATATAGCTTGGTCCTATGGTATATCTACTTTTTAGTTTTTAGAGAATTCTCTGTACTGATTTTCATAGTGGTGGCACCAGTTTGCAGTTCTACCAACAATGAAAATTCCTCTTTACCCACATCTTCCCTAGCATTTGTTACCAGTTTATTTATTTGTTTTTGTTTTATCTTAGTCATTGTGATTGGGGTAAGTAGAAATCTCAGAGTGGTTTTAGTTTTTGTTTCCTAAATTGCTGATGATCTGAACTTCCCTGCCTCCCTCCCTCTCTCCTTTCTTTCTTTTTGTGTTTTTCGAGAAAGGGTTTCTCTGTAGCTTTGGAGCCTATCCTGGCCCACACTTTACAGATCAGGCTGGCCTTGAATTCACAGAGATTCGCTTGACTCTGCCTCCCAGTTGCTGGGATTAAAGATGTGTTTCACCACTGCCGGGCAATGCTGAACACTTTTAAGGGTATTTCTTAGCCATTTTTATTTGAGAACTCTGTTTAGACCCATAGCTTTGAGTTCTTCATTTATACTGAATATTAATCCTTTATCAGATCTATAGTTTGTAGGTGGAATTTTCCTGTCTCGGAGCCGTTTGGTCCCAAATAGCCAGTAGCCACTTCCCAAATTACTACACAGAGGCTTAATATTATTTGTAAATGCTTGACTAGTAACTTAGGTTTATTATTATCTGATGCTTACATTTTAAGTAAGCCCATATCCCTTATTTACTATCTGCCATATGGCAGCACCTTTTCTCAGTAAGGCATGCCCATCTTGCTCTCTCCTTGTCTGGCCAGTGTTTCCTGATTCTGCCTTTCTCCTTTCCATCATCCTTAGTTTGTTCTCCCTGCCTGGCTATTGGCCAATTAGCGTTTTATTAAACCAATTTGAGTGACAAATCTTTACAGTGTACAGAGGATTATTTCTCAGCAATAGTTGGCAAAAATTCTCTTCCTCTTCTGTTAGTTGATTGTTTCCATTGCTGTACAGAAGACTTAGTTTTATCAAGTCCCATTTATCAGTTGTTGGCCTCACTTAATTCAGGGACAAATCAGAAAGTCCTTTGCTATATCTTCATCTTGTAGGTACTGCTCCATGTTGTCTTTCAGCAGTTTCAGTGTGTTAGGCTTCATTCACAGCATTACAGTCTTTGATCCATTTGTTTTGTTTTGTTTTTTCCTTTTTCAAAAGAGGGTTTTTCTGTGTAACCCTGGCTGTCCTGGCTGTTACTCTGTAGACCAGGCTGGCCTCGTACTCATGGAGATAAGCCTGCCTCTGCTTCCCAAGAGTGCTGGGATTAAAGGCTTTTGCCACCAACTCCTGGCTTGATCCGTTTTTCAACATGGGTGCTTAGAGCTATAAACTTCCCTCTTAGAACTACTTTTAATGTGTCCCAAAAAGGTTTTGTTGTGTTTTCTTTTTCATTTGAGGACATTTTTATTTCTTTCTTCCTAACCTGTTTCTTTGACTGATTAATCATTCAGTAATCTGTTTAATCTCCATGAATGTATGTAATTGCTAGAGAATCACTTGTGGTTTATTTTAAGCTTTATTGCATTATAGTCAGATAGTATCCACAGAGTTGTTTCAGTTTTTCTGAATTTGTTAGGATTTTTTTTTTTCCAAGACAGGGTTTCTCTGTGGCTTTGGAGGCTGTCCTGGAACTAGCTCTTGTAGACCAGGCTTGTCTCGAACTCACAGAAATCTTCCTGCCTCTGCCTCCCGAATGCTGGGATTAAAGGCGTGTGCCACCAACGCTCGGCAGGATTTGTTTTATCTCCTCTGAGTGGTCTATTTTAAAGAAGTGTCCATGGACTCCTGAGATCATGTTCTTTGGTGTTACGTAGAATATTCTGTAGATATGTTAGGTCCATTTGATGTGTCATGCTGTTATTATTTATTTACTTTGTGTTTTGTTTTGTTTTCTTAGACAAGGTCTCCTAGCTCAGTCTGGTACCAAATATGGTTTGCAGCCAAGGATGACCTTGGACAGGGGATCTCTTGCTTCCCTCTTGAGTTCTGGGATTGCGGACATGCTGCCAAGCCTGCTTTAACCATTTTAGAATGATTTTTGTCTCTCCAGAAAGAATCCTTATATCCATTAGCATCACAAACCATTTACTCTGTGAATAGTAACCACATAGCTAGGCAGCCACTTACACACTTTTTGTGGATTTGGATGTCTCTTAATACAATTTGTGATCTTTTGTGTCTTCTTTCACTTAGCATGTTTTCAAGGCTCATTCACATTGTAACATACATCAGTACTTCTTCTTTTTATTCACATTGTAATATACATCAGTACTTCACTTCTTTTTATTGCCAAGTAACAACATTCCATTATGTTAATGTCTATGTATTTCTTACTTGATGGATGTTTGGATGGTTTCTGCTTTTATTTATTTATATTTATTTACATTTTTACATTTTATGTGTGTGTGTGTGTGTGTGTTCATTTCTATGCACATGCAAGTGTATGGGAGCCAGTGGACAATGGTTCTCTCCTTCTACCATGAGGTTCTTTGGATCAAGCTAAAGTCCTCAGTAGATACCTGTGTTCTCTGAGCCATCTTGCTAGAGTTCAATTTTTTTTATCCATTATGGATAATGCTCTATAAATAATTTTATGAACATTTGTACAGTTTTTGTGAGGTTGTGTGCTTTCTGCTTACTTGGATGTGTTTGTAGGAGTTGAATTGTTTGTTCATATAGTATTCATGTTTAACATTTTGAGAATTCTAGGTTATTTTTCAAAGCAGATGCACCATTATGTAATTTCTTCAGCAACATAATAGGTTTCTAATTTCTCCATCTCTTCCCAATGCTTGTTGTCTATCATTTTGTACTCATCCTGCTAGCTGTGGTTTTGTTTTCCTGATAGCTAATGATGTTCAGCAAGTTTTTGTGCATTTGTTGGCTACTTTTATATCTGTTTTGGGAAAATGGCTATTAAAATCTTTTGGTTCCTGTTAAGTAACATCTTAATCTTTGTTTATCCCTTTAGCCATACTTTGCAACTTTGCATCATTTTAAGTTTAACATGTATTGCTTCTTTTCATTGAGGTGTAGAAGTTTTTTAGTCTTAGCTAAGATTTTCTACACTGTAGCTCTATGTGGTCAAGATGAGTTGCTAGATTTTTTTTTTAAGATTTATTTATTACATATACAGTGTTCTGCCTACATGCCAGAAGAGGGCACCAGATTGAATTATAGATGGTTGTGAGCCATCATGTGGTTGCTGGGAATTGAACTTAGGACCTCTCGAAGAGTAGTCAGTGCTCTTAACCTCTGAGCCATCTCCCCAGCTCCGAGTTGCTAGATTTTTTTTTTTTAAGGCATGGTAGGTACCTATAGCTTTATTACACAGTGATCCCCAGTCTCTTTACCTTTGACATTTGTTGTATTAGTTAGTTTCTGCTATTCCTGGTTTATATCATCTTCTAGATTGTGAATGCGTCAGGCCATAAACCATATCCTTTTTTAAAAATTGTGTGTATATGTGTGTGGCCTCCAACACATATTTTAATTGCTACATTCAAATACAGTTAAAAAATGAACAAGCAAACAGATATAATAATGGACTGGCAATACGGCTCAGTGGTAAAAGTGTTTGCTATGCAAATATGAAGACTCTGGAGTTCTTTTCCCTAGAAATCCAAGTAAATGCTGTGGTGGCCTGCCTGTAATTCAAGCCTTGGAAGGTGGAGGAGTTAGCAAGAGCAGCCATATCAGCCAGCTGTAGGTTTAATTGAGAGACCTTCCTTTAATGCATAAAATAGAGGCACAATCAAGGATGATTCCCAGCATCAACCTTGAGCCTTCAATGCATTCATATATACATGCAAAGATTTATGCTTAGACACATGCACATACCACATACATATAAGAAAAATGGAAAAACAAAAACAATAGATAAAAATTATTTTCAGCAAATATATCATGTATTTGTCAGCTTTCTGATACTGTAACAAATACCTGATATAATGAACTTAAAAGAAGTGGATTGAGCCAGTGATGGCTTAGTGGGTAAAGGCACTTGGCCATGAAGCCTGGTGATCTGAGTTTAGTCTCTAGAACCCACATGGTGGAAGGAGAGAACTATCTCCCTCAAGTTGTGCTCTGGCCTTCACATTTGCACCGTGGCACAAGCACTCCTTCCAATGAATAAAATAAATATAATGTAAAATGAAAAAAATATATGTGAACTATAAATAAATGTACATGCATACACACACACACACACACACACGCACGCACGCACGCACGCACGCACCACACGGGTTTTAAATCCTACTGTCTTAGTTAGGGTTTCTGTTGCTGCAAAGAGACACCATGACCATGGTAAATTTTTTTTCTTTCTTTTTTTGTGTAGCCCTGGCTGGCCTGGAACTCCTCCTGTAGATCAGGCTGGCTTGGAACTCAGAGATCTACCTGTCTTTTCCTCCCTAGTGCTGGAATTAAAGGTGTGCACCACCATCCCCACTTGATCATGGAAATTCTTATAAAGGAAAGCATTTATTTGGGATTTGCTTACAGTTTCAGAGGTTAGTTCCATTGTCATCATAGTGGGGCGTAGGGAGCATAGTGGCACACAGGCAGACATGGTGCTGGGGAAATAGCTGAGAGTTCTGTATTCAGATCTGCAGGTAGAGAGAGAGAGAGCCTGGCCCTGACATGGGCTTTGAAACCTCATAGCCTGCCCCCAGTGACACACTTCCTCCAACAAGGGCATACCTTCTAATCCTTCTAATCCTTTCAAATAGTGCCACTCCCTGGTGACTAAGCATTCAAATATATGAATCTGTGGAGGCCATTTTTATTAAAACCACCATACCATGCTCCATGCCAGCTTTGTGTGTGTGTGTGTGTGTGTGTGTGTTTGTGTTTGAATATATACACATACATACATACACACATATTAGAGGAAAACAAGAAACGATTTGGCCAAAGTCATGCTAGAAAATGATTTGATCTGTGGGAAGTCAGAGATTTATGGCCCTCCCTTGGGCCTGTGTTTGCTCAGGTCCTAGATGCTAGAGTACATGTTGTACTGCTTGGAGAGCTGGGCTATAAATTCATTTTGGCCAGGCATGGTAGCCATGCCCATGATCCTGGCACTGGCTATGGAGGGGGTGGGTCTCTTGGTAGTTTTTTGAGTGTATGATGTGTAGAAGGCCTGCATATATGTGTGTATTTACTAAGATAGGAAAATATAAGAAATATAAATATTAAATAAAATTAATAAATATTTTAGAAAACAGCTGCTTCTAAATCAAAATAACCAGCTAAATCTTCAATGAAATGGCATTGATCAAGGAGTAAACTAATATTTCAAATGTTAAAGTATTTTCTCTTTTCTTTTACAGTCATCTCAGCCAAACTTAAAGAAAATAAAAAGAATTGGTTTGGACCAAGTCCTTATGTAGAAGTCACAGTAGATGGGCAGTCAAAGAAGACAGAAAAATGTAACAACACAAACAGTCCCAAATGGAAGCAACCCCTTACAGTGTAAGTTCCAGTAGTGTAATACTTGTTTATACATGAGTAGAGATGTGACTCTAATATGCCTGTTTCTTTGAATTCCCTTTTCTTTTGCACCTTTCCCACATGCTCCTAGGAGTCTTTCCTCTAATTTCCTTTTTGTTTCTCTTTAGATGGTTTCTTGTCTGTTCTGGTCTGTCTTCATCTTCTCCACAGTTTAGTTGATGATGGTATCACTGTAGCCATTGAAGAAAAGTGGAAAGGACTCTTTATAAAAGATAGCTGTCTCTTTTAATTTTAGTTCTAAAAATTTTATACATTAATTAGTATTTTTACATTATTATAATAGCCTTTAAGAAAGATTTTATTTTATGTGTATGTGTGTTTTGCCTGTGTATGTGGCTAAGCACCAAATGTGTATAGTGACCAAGGAGGTCAGAAGAAGGTGTCAGATAGCTTGGAACTGGAGTTACAAATGGTTGTTAGCCACCATGAGTATTCTAGGAAGATAATCCAATTCCTCTGCAAAAATTAGTAAGTGCTCTTAATCCCTGAGCCAGCTTTCTCGTCCTAGTAGCTCTTTTTTTAAATTGGGGCTGAATCAGGTTCAGAGATTAACTCACTTTAAAAAAAAAAAAAACCTTTTGTTTTGTTCTGTATTGAGACAGGGTCTTGCTACATAGTTCAAGTTTGCCTGGAGCTTGCTATGTAGCTCAGACTAGCCTTAAATTCTTTATCCCTTTAACCTCAAGCCTCCTGAATGCATGTACTATTGGTATGTGCTTCTATGCACAGCACTTAATTATTTCTGTTTTCCTTTTTGAGACAGGATTTTCTTCATAGCACTGGCTGTCCTAAAACTCACTCTTTAGACCAGGCTGGCCTCAAACTTAAGAGATCTACCTACCTCTGTCTCCCAAGTGCTGGGATTAAAGGTGTGTGCCACCATCCCCACAATTCTATTTTTAAAATTAGGGTTTGTGTGTATGTATATGTTGGGTGTGGTGGAACATGCATACAATCCCAGATCTTCTTAGACTAAGATAGAGGGATTACAAGTATTAGGCATACTGGATCACATTGCAAAACACCATTTAAAGAAATAGTCTTGTGGGACTGGAGAAATGGCTCAGTGGTTAAGAGCACTGGCTGCTCTTGCAAAGATCCTGAGTTCAATTCCCAGCAACCACATGGTATCTCACAACCATATATAATGACATTGGCGTCCTCTTCTGGCATGCATTCATACATGCAGACAGAATATTGTATACATAATAAATAAATCTTTTTTGGTTTTTCAAGACAGGATTTCTCTATTGTTTTGGAGCCTGTCCTGGAACTCACTCGGTAGACCAGACTGGCCTCGAACTCCCAGAGATTCGCCTGCTTCTGCCTTCCGAGTGCTGGGGTTAAAGTCGTGTGTCACCAACCCCCAGAAATAAATAAATCTTAAAAAAAAGGAATAGTTTTGTATTTTTTAATCATAGTGCCCCTGCAAACCAAAATTCAGTTTTTTTATATTTTAAAATATTATTTATATGTTATGACAAAAAGTTATATCATATATTTTATGCTATAGCATTGCTTTTATTTATTTTTATTTTAAAAATACTTTATTTTAATTTTTTTATTCATGTGTGTATGCATCTCTGTATGCACGTGTGTGTGGGTAACCTCGGAGGCTAGAAGAGAGCCATAGATCCCCTGGAGGTGGAATCAAACTCTGGTCCTTTGGAAGTATGTTTAGTGCTTTAAGCACTTAGCTAACCCTCCGGCCCTTATTTTAATTTCTTTAAATTAATTTATTATTATTTTGTGTTTGTTTATGAGGGGGTGCATGCTGTGGTATTCATGAAGTTAGGGAACAACTTTGTGCAGCCAAATTTTTCTTTGTAGGTTCTAGGAACTGAACTCAGAGGTCCCTTTGCATTTTACATTCTTTGCCATCTTTCCAGCTCCTGTAACTCTGTTTTTATACTTAATAATCATATCTGGGCTGGAGAGATGGCTCAGAGATTAGAAGCACTGACTGCCCTTCCAGAGGTCCTGAGTTCAATTCCCAGCAACCACATGGTGGCTCACAGCCATCTGTAATGAGATCTGGTGTCCTCTTCTGGTGTTCAGACATAATGGAAGCAAGATGTTGTGTTCACAATAAATAAATCTTTAAAAAAAATAATCATATCATGGTAACACTCGCATCTGAGTGTATACGTGCCTAATATCCTTTATGTAGCTATGCAGTTTCTCTCCTATAATAGTTGTTTTCTAATACCTGCTAATGTTAAAGTACTAGGTTTGTATACTGTATATCTATGCATGTGCATGCATGTTGATAATTTTTATCTGCTGTATAAATTCATGAAAATAAGATAGCACTCACTTTGAATACTTACTGGCAAAATGTCAGATATTGGTAGTACAACCTGAGACATTTGAGCACTCATTGAAAGGACTGTAATTTTTAAAATTAAAAGGAAAAGCATTATTTGCCAGTGAATAGACTTTAGAATAATGTAGCACATAGGATTTGGGGAGCATAGATTAAAATGTGGATCAGAATGTAATGATTGTTTCAGTATAAAATACAAAGTACTGGGTGATGGTGTTGTACACCTTTAATCCTAACACTTGGGAGCCAGAGGCAGGCAGATCTCTGTGAGTTCGCAGCCAGCCTGGACTACAGACCGAGTTCCAGTACTGCTAGGACTATACAGAGGAACCTTGTTTCAAAAAACAAAACATTAGTAACAACAACAAAAATACAATTTTTTGTTTGTTTGTTTTTTGGTTTTTTGAGACAGGGTTTCTCTGTATTACTTTGGAGCCAGTCCTGGAGCTCACTCTGTAGACCAGGCTGACTTCCAACTCACAGTGATCCACCTGCCTCTGCCTCCCGAGTGCTGGGATTAAAGGTGTGTGCCACCAACGCCTGACCCTACAAATTATTTTTATTACCTGATATTTGCACCTCTTGATTTTGTTTCACTTAAATAATTAAACCAATGACTAGGAAAAAAAGATGTTCATTTAAATGTCAGGATGAGAAACTATAAGGTTTTCTCTTCAAACAATAAACATTATTTGGTTATATTTATTCCCAGTAAATGTCAAACCATTTGATATACCTATAATATGAATGTCTGAAGTCTTAGGATCATTTTGATGTGTCTAATGATACTTTTAAGAAAATAAATGAAATTTAAAAATTACGTGCATATGATCCTAGCTCTTAGGAGGATTTCTGATTTCAGACCAGCCTGGTCTACATAGTGAGTTCTAGACCAGCCAGGGTTATGTAAGTTGGACCCTGTCTTGAAAGACAAAAGAGCCGAGCATTGGTGGTGCACACCTTTAATCCCAGCACTCGGGAGGCAGAGGCAGGCGGATCTCTGTGAGTTCAAGGCCAGGCTGGATCGACAACCTCCAAAACAGAGAAACCCTGTCTCGTAAAAAACCAAAAAAAAAAAAAAAAAAAAAAAAAAAAGACAAAAGAGATAAAAATAAAATTGAATTAATAAGAACTTACTGAAGATTAGTTTAGATTTCATTTGCAGAATTTTTCTGATCTTTTAATTTCTATTGCCTTGGAAACAGCATTATAGAGTACATTTTTTTATTGTATGCTTTTATCAAGCATGAAGTATAAACTTCTGTTTTGAGACAGGGTCTCATTGTGTTGTTCAGTCTTGCACAGCTATATGTGATGGTTATCCTGGTGACTTTGTCTCTGGCTCTGTGAAACTTTTTGTATCTGTTACAACTTTCAAAATGAATGTGGTGTATTAGAGTAGACTTTAGTTCAAACTTCAACTAGCTTACTAGCTAGATGACCTTGTCAGTTTGCTCAACTTCTCTGAGGGGCATCATTTTTTTTTTTTTTTTTGTTTTTTGTTTTTTGTTTTTTTTTTTGAAACAGGGTTTCTCTGTGGCTTTGGAGGCTGTCCTGGAACTCGCTCGGTAGACCAGGCTGGTCTCGAACTCACAGTGATCCGAGTGCTGGGATTAAAGGCGTGCGCCACCAACGCCCGGCTGAGGGGCATCATTTTTAATATTAATCTCATATGATACACTTACTGTGGGGATTAATGAAATTACCTCAAATTCAGTGAAATTCAGGAATTTAATTTGTAAATTCACTATTTCAAAAAATGCCTTTTAAAATTGACAAGTAAAATTATGTATTTTTCTTGGGTATATTTTATTGTTTTAGTAAATCTACTCCTTTAATAGTAGTTTGCCTTATAAGCAGTTTTGTTTCGTGTGTGTGTGTGTGTGTGTGTGTGTGTGTTTGATCTTACAGTCCAGTTGCATTCAAATACAAATTTTATGAGATTTCAGAGCATAGACCACCTGGCTAATGGTAAACTTTAGGAGGCCCAGAGAGGGACTGCCTACATAGCTCAGTAGGTGGCTCCCTGAGACCCACTTGGTGAAAGGCGAGAACCAAACTCCTGCAAGTTGTCCTTTGACCTCCATATCCAGCTAAATAGATAAACATAATTTGTTTTAATTTAAGATAAAGAGGTACAATGCAAAGATTTTAGACATTAAAGCTTGATTGTAACCTATTAAGGATCTCATTGTGATGTTTAATGAAAATATTTCCCTCCTTTTTTATTTTCAGTATTGTTACCCCTACAAGTAAATTACATTTTCGTGTGTGGAGTCACCAGACCCTGAAATCTGATGTTTTGTTGGGAACTGCTGCATTAGATATTTATGAAACATTAAAGTCAAACAATATGAAACGTATGTATGTAAGAGTTACATAAAATGTACTGTGCTGCTTTTTGGAAGAAATGTATGTAAGAGTAACATAAAATGTATTTTGTTGTTTTTTGGGAGGAATTCTTTTTTTTTTTTTTTTTTGTTTTTTTGTTTTTTGTTTTTTCGAGACAGGGTTTCTCTGTATTGTTTTGGAGGCTGTCCTGGAACTCGCTCTGTAGACCAGGCTGGCCTCAAACTCACAGAGATCCACCTGCCTCTGCCTCCCGAGTGCTGGGATTAAAGGCGTGTGCCACCAACGGCTGGCTGGGAGAAATTCTTTTGTTAAACATGTGGAACAGCTCACGTCATGATTTGTCCTTAAATTTAAATGATTATTGAGCTGGGGGTGGTTGATACAGTTGATTGTAGCACCCAGGAAGCACAGGCAGATGGATCTCTATATATTGAGTTCTAGGCCAGCCAGGTCTACATTGTGAGATTGCAGCAAAACAAAACAACTACAACAAATACCTATGAGGTTATAAGGAGTGACAGAAAAAGTGTTAAAACTATTAAAGCATTCCGAATAATCTTGGTTTGGTCACTCATTTTGGAGATACTATTTTAGTAAATATTTCCTTAATAAATATTAATAAAGCAATACATAGTAAATTATAGAGAAACTAAAAGATTTAAAGCAGACATGAAGGAAAAATATACCTCAGAGAGACATGTGCTGTTAAAGGTGTAGGTAGATTACTCAGTGTTTGTTTCTACTGCTTAATTTTGAAGTTTCCTTATTTTAGGTGGTTGTTTTATTTTCATTTATAGAATCATAACTCATTTTAGTTAGATCTCATATTTTAAATGTGAATTGTTTTTCTATCCCTTGACATAATTCTAAGAACTTTTTTCCTTATTTAGATCTTTATGATATATAATACATTCTTAAATTATGTTTTCATTCAATATAGCTTAAGTTTATATCTTTGTTTTCATGCTAATGTGATTTATACTATTGCTTTTTCAAGGGGGGATGACTATAACAAATAATTTGGATTATTTAATATTTTGTAATATATATGTTCTATTAAATAGTATATATATTGATAAAGTTTATTTTCTTTTTAAAAAGTAATGTTCTGGTCTCAAAAGTCCTTTGACCTTTGTACACCAAAAAGTTTACACATAATTGAAAGAATGATGTTTCTTGTGCAATTTTTGTTCTTTTTCAGTTGAAGAAGTAGTTATGACTTTGCAGCTTTTAGGTGACAAAGAGCCAACAGAGACAATGGGAGATTTGTCAGTTTGTCTTGATGGACTGCAAGTAGAAGCTGAAGTTGTCACTAATGGTGAAACTTCATGCTCAGAAAGTAAGTGATTACTTTTTGTTTGTTTGTTTTTGTTTTTTCATGACAGGGTTTCTCTGTGTAGCCCTGGCTGTCCTGGAACTTGCTCTGTAGACGAGGCTGACCTCAACTCAGAAATCTGCCTGCCTCTGCCTGGCTAAGTGGTTACATTTCCCCCTTCTTTTTTAAAGATAATAATATACTGTGTAGACGAGGCTGGCATCTCTCTCTGTGTCTCTTGTGTGTGATGAGTGGTGGTGGTAGTACACTTACTTGTGCATACATCAGTGGATCCCAAAGGTTGACATCAGAATGTCTCCCTCAGTCACTTGTCTGCCTTTAAAAAATATATATTTTAATGGCATGTAAGTGTGGTATGCCATGTGTGTGTGTTTCCTGGACAATCTGGTGGAGCTAGGTGGCTGTGAACTACCTGACGTGGATGCTGGAACTCTAACTTTGGTCCTTACAAGAGCAATATTTGTTCTTAACTACCAAGCCCTCTCTCCAGCACCTTTCTGCTGTGGTTTTTTTTTTTTTTTTTTTTGAGACAGGATTTCTTATAATCTTCCAGTTTGTCTAGGGTGTCTAACCAGAGAGCTGGGATTATAAGCATGTGCTGCCTCACCAGGTACCTATATGGTTGCTAAGGATCTGAACCTGGGTCTCCGTGCTCATACAGCAAACTCCTTACCCACTGAGCATCTCCCTAGTACTAGGTTGATCTTGAGCTCCCATCTTCTTGCCTTGGCCTTCCAAGTGCTGGGATTATAGGCAGAGATAGGCCAGCATGCCCAGTTCAGTTACTACTTTGTGGTTAAGGTCTCTTGTGATTCTTCTGGCAAACAATAGCTAGTGTGGTATTTGTAATTATTGTTATTACTGTTCTTTTCTCCAGAAAAAAAGTGTTTATTTTCTTTTTAAAAAGGTATTCGTCTAGGAATATAGTTTAGTGGTAGAGTGTTTGCCTAGCATGTGTATGACCCTAAATTCAATTTCCAGTATCATAATAAAATAAATAATAAAAAGACACCAATCATATTAAATACTTTGTTTTGTTGCAATGTTTATAAATTAAAAAAATGTTGCAAGTTAAAAAGCTGTATAAATAAAAGTTGAATCACACTGGACAGTGGTATTGTATGCCTTTAATCCCAGCACTCAGGAGACAGAGGCAGGCATATCTTGGAGTTCGAGGAAGCCTGGTCTACAGAGTCAGTTCCAGAACAGCCAGGGCTACCCTGTTTTGAAAAACAAAATAACAACAACAAAAAACCAGAATCCTGGGTAAAATATTTTTGGGTTGGATACATGGTCCAGTGGTTAAGAGCACTGGCTACTCATCCAGAGGATCTAAATTTAATTCTCAGCACCTATATGATAGCTCACAACTGTTTGTAACTCCAGTTCTGGGGAATCCTACACCCTCACACAGACATACATGCAGGCAAAACACCAGTGTACATAAAAAATAAAAATAAATCATTAAAAAAAGTTGAACCACAGTTGACCTGTAACTATTGAACTGATTGATAAAGTATATCCTAAATGCTATTCATATCAGCTAATATGGTCACTCCCTCCACTGCCAATGGTGGATATATGTTACCACCTATAGCAGTGGCTGCTTGAGTTGAAATGACTTCAGGTCCTGTAGTACTAGACAGTCAATACAAGCTGGAATCCATTTGCCGTTTCTACTCCCATTCAGTGAGCCACCCTTCACAGGCATATCTTCTGTGTTATTATAGCTAAAAACCTGATTCATTGTCTGTGTGCTGGTACATTTTACAATTTGTAGGGTATACTGGTTTGAGTTAAAGAGGAGTTAACCACAGTAAAGAAGTTTATAGTGACACATCATCTGGTATTGTCTTTAGTAAAACTTCTTTCCAGTTTTTTTTAACAATTTTTTTAGATTTGTTTATTTATTATGTAGTGTTCTGCCTGCAGGTATGCCTGCACTCCAGAAGAGGGTGCCAGGTGTCATTGTAGATAGTTGTGAGCCACCATGTGGTTGCTCAGAATTGAACTCAGGACCTCTGGAAGAGCAGCCAGTGCTCTAACCTCTGAGTCATCTCTCCTGCCTCTCCAGTTTATTCTTAACAGATATTTCTCTCGTTTAGAAATATACTAAATTATTTCACCATTTATAAATTTTAGCAGTTTTCCTGCTTCCTCTCCCCACGCTATATTTTTCTTTTTTTTTTTTATTGACAAGGTCTCACTTTATAGCTGTCCTGGAACTTACTATGTAGATCAGGCTGGCCTTGAACTCACAGAGATCCACCTGCCCCTGCCTCCTGAGGGCTGGGATTAAAAGTGTGTGTCACCACTCTATTTTTAGAACTCTAAATGAACAGTTGTGGTGTTTGTTCTGAGAAAGACTTGTTTACTTAGAACTGAATTATGAAGTAGCTCCAGTGTGGCCCTCTGTTGCTTCATTGGTGGAGGACTTCCTCGTTAGCACAACTGTTTTCATAGCAGGAACTTGAAGATAGTTCTGAAGAATTTTCTACACTGTTTTTAAATGACATTTTTTCATTTATTTTGTGTGTGTGCACGTGTAGGAGTACTTGTGCCACAGCATACATATGGAGATCAGAGGACAAAGCCTGAGAGTCAGTTCTTTGCTTCTACCATGATGGTCCCCAGCATTGAACTCAGCTCATTGGGCTTGATGGCAGGTACCTGAATGAACTAAGCCAACTTGTGTCCTTCCTCTCTTTTTTTATTAAGAAATTGCAAAGGGGAAGGAAAATGCAGAAATGATTATACTGCTTCTGAATTGAACTTCAGTTGAATGTTGTTCACAGGATCTATAATAGTTACATTGTCAGACTCTCAGTGGCTGGCACTTGCATGCAAAAGTAATGCTTTTGAGTCTTATATTTTAGAGTGAAGTCTAAAGGTGTGAACTGCCCGGTCTGATTTAGGTCTCTGTTACTATTTTGGTTTTTGAGAAAGGTCTCATTGTGTGACCTTGAACTTTCTTTGTGCCTTGTATTGGTCTTGAATTTAAAGCAGTTCTCTTTTTTAAATAATATTTTTCTATTTTGTATACATTGGTGTCTTCCTGCAAGTATGTCTGTATGGGGGAATCAGATCCCCTAGAAGAGAACAGTTGTGAGCTGCCATGTGGGTGCTGGGATTTAACCCTGGTCCTCTGGAAGAGCAGCCAGTGTTCTTAATCACTGAACCATCTCTCCCCACAGTTCTCTTTACTATCTATCTATCTATCTATCTATCTATCTATCTATCTATCTATCTACCTACCTATCATCTATCTATCTATCTATCTATCTATCTATCTATCTATCTATCTATCTGGTTTTTCGAGATAGGGTTTCTCTGTGGCTTTGGAGACTGTCCTGGAACTAGCTCTTGTAGACCAGGCTGATCTTGAACTCACAGAGATCCGCCTGCCTCTGCCTCCTGAGTGCTGGGATTAAAGGCGTGCACAACCACTGCCGGTCACAGTTCTCTTTTTTAAAAAAAGGTTTTATTACATTTATTTATTTGAATGTGTGGATGCATTCACATGCCACAGTTCCAATGTAGAGGTCCAAGGACAGCTTGCAAGAGTTAGTTCTTTCCTTCTACCATGTAGATCCTGGGGATCAAACTCAGGCCATCAGGCTTGGTAGTAATCATCTTTACCCACTGAGCCATCTCACGGTCCTGAAATAGTCCTTTTGTGTGGCCTCCTCAGTGCTGGAATTACACACATGAGTTGTTATACCCAGTTCTGGCTCAAGATCTTTATCTTTGCTGTATATACTCTGCATGTATTTAAAATTAGTTTAGGGAAGGCTGGTGAGATAGCTTAGCCTGAGGACCTGAATTTAACCCCCAGAACCCATGAAAAGGTGGAAAGAACTTCCAAAACTTATCTTTCATGTCCACATATAGCATGGAATACACACACAGTAAATAAAAATAAAATAAGCTGGAAGCTTGGCTTCTACTAAATAACAATGTGGTAGTACACACCTTTAACCTCAGCGTTCAGGAGACAGAAGCTGGTAGATCTCTGTTGGGTTTAAGCCCAGACTGGTCTATACAGTGAATTCTAGGCTAGCTAGTATACATAGTGAGACTCTTCTCAACAAATAAAAAAGTAAGATGAAATCTCGGCTTATGTAATCAGCCTCACTGCTTTTAAATGTAGACTCTTGGATTAGTCTTTAGTTTTTGTGGTTCCATTAAACTTCCGGTAAGCAGTTATATCAGTCTAAGTGTATTATTAGTACTTCTTACCAGGGTAGTAAGTTCTAAGGAACCAGCCAGCCTAAATTCTTTACTTCACCAAATATTACTTCAACTTACAAAAATCTCAAAAGGGCACCAACCATTTATACATAGAGAAATTTTGGTTTATAGTTTAATTTTTTTTTTTTTTTTTTGAGATAGGGTTTCTCTGTGTAGCCTTGGAACCTCTCCTGGAACTAGCTTTGTAGAACAGACTGGCCTTGAATTTACAGAGATCCACCTACCTCTGCCTCCCAAGTGCTAGGATTAGCGGTATGCACCACCACTGCCCTGCTTCATTACTCATTTTATTTTGCTTGTCTATATATATGTGTACTATATGTGTGCCTGGTGCCTCTAGAGGCCAGAGAGGATATCATGTCTGAAACTGGAAGGTAAAAGCTCTTGTGAGTTGCCATGTAGGTGTTGGGAATCAAGCCCAGGTTCTTAACCACTAAGCCACCTTTCTAGCCCCTTTAGTCTTTGTTTATATTTTTCAAGACAGAGTCTCTCTTGGCTGCCCTGGAACTCACTAAGTAGACCAGACTATCCTCTAACTCAGAGATCCCCATGCCTCTGCCTCCTGAGTACTGGGACTACACACTGGTCCTATAGTATTTTTTTTATTTTATTTTATTTTATTTTTTCGAGACAGGGTTTCTCTGTGGCTTTGAAGCTGGCTGTCCTAGAACTCGCTCTGTAGACCAGGCTGGTCTTGAACTCACAGAGATCTGCCTGCCTCTGCCTCCCAAGTACTGGGACTAAAGGTGTGC